GTGGTGATGCATGCCTGTAATTCTAGCACTCAAGAAGATCACTGCAAGTTCTAGGATGGACTGGGCTATGTAGTGAATTCAAGACCACCCTGAACTTCATAATGAGACCCTGTCTCAAACAACAACTAAAACTTCAAGGAGGAAGGATTTATTGTTTTACACACAGTTTCAGAGGGTTCAGTCCATAATCCATTGCCTCCAAAACAAAAACATCATAATGGGAGGGCTTGGCAGAGCAAAGCTGCTCTGTCCATAGCAGCTAGGAGGTAGAACACAGAGAATAGTGACAAGATATAGAGTACCTCCAAAGACATGCCCCCATGACCCACCTCCAAATGAGCCTGGTGTCCTAACAGTGCATTCAACCATGAAAATCAAGTGAATTAATTCACCAATGAGTATCATGCTTCCATCATCCAATCACTGCTCCAGCAGTCTCTTAATCCAGCCTAGTTGACAACTAAGATTAGCTGGCACAAGTCCACTTCTTGTCAACTTGACACCTAATCACATCTTTTTAAACCATATGTAACATCCAAATAAACACAATGACAAGATAATAATTCTGCCTAATGTGATACAACTGCTTTGTCTACAGCCAAACATGCAATAATTGCTTCCCCAAAGTTTCAACAATTCCATCATTGTTAAAAACCCAGGTCCAGAGTTTCTTCTAAGACTAACGGCATCTTAACTATGAACTCATGTAAAATTCAAAAAAGCAAGTTACATAGTCCCAATATACAATGGTAATGGTACAGGTTAAATATTCTGGTTCTAAAAGAGAGGAATAGAAGGATAGAAAAGAATGGGACCAAAGCAAGGCTAAAACCCAGCAGAATAAACATTAATTTCTACAGCTCCATGTTTTGTATTTGGAGCACACAGTGGTATGATGGGAGTTCCAGAGGGGAGCAGTCCTGTGGTAGGGCCTCCCCCGATTGTGGGGCCCGAACATTTACAATGGAGGTTATTAGCCTCTGTGTACCCTGTGTAGTTTTGATGTAGTGCTGTAACATAAATAATACCTAACCAGACTGTAGAATGTTAATGTGTACCCAAGCAGACTGTGAAATGTTAGTGTATGCCCATATAAGGGAAAGAAAGACACAAAAAAATACATAAAAGGGTGGAACTACACCATGTTCTGTACTCAGCCTTTGGATGCAGTTCTGCTGAGTCAGTGCCAGCCCAAATAAAGCTGTTTCCTGGGAAAAAATGCTTCGATATGCTATCTCTCTACACAAAAACCCCACAGGAGTCCTACAGCCGTGCTGGCTGGATGTACCTCACATAGCCTCTCTCAAGCTGACTTTGCTCACTGCCTGCTTCTTTCCTCCTCCGTAGATGTGCTGCATTCCTGACATCTCCGACTTCCTGCACCACTGCACACTTGTCTTCATTCCCACAGCTTTATGCATTGCCCTCTCAGGGACTCCTTGCCTGGCTTCCCTGGCCTTCCTTGGAAGTCTGGGAGGAAGCCTCCCTGGTGCCACAACTCTTGTATTTGGCATGCCAGTAAAACCTGCATCACTTGGACAATGCCAGGGTCTGCATCCAGCTCAAGTAGTAGCCAGGCCGTCTGGAGTCATGGCTGCTGTGAGGTCTGAGCGCCTGGGCAACTGAGGATGGTGAAATGAATCCCAGGGAACCAATTCTCTAGGCAGCCCTTCTCAGCAGGGGTCCCTGGGACTCTCTTCTCAACAAAAGGTTTATATTTTTGCACATTAAGCTTGTGATGGGTGGGGTCTTGCTGATTTTTTGGAGGCCCTCAAGGCATCTTTCTTCTCATCCCTGTACAAAGGGCTTGGTTTCTTTTTCATGGCACTAATCTCTTCAGTATGCACACATCTTTTGGCCCCAACTTTGCACATGATTCTTTCAGACTAAAATTTAAGTTCTTCCAAATCTTTTTGCTTCTCTTTTTGCTCTCTTTCTCACTATAACTCTGACTAAAAGCAGCCAGCTGTATATGCCACAGCCCAGGCTACCTTGAAATTTCCTCCAACAGGTCCATGAGTCCATTAAACTCAGCCTTCTCTAAAGTCTCTGGGCAAGTGTAAAATATAGACAAGTTTTTGTGCCAGAACATAACACACATGGCTTCAAGTCTAACTCCCAATAGAGTCCTCATCCACAACCTTCTGAGCCTGACCTTTACTGTCTGCATTCCTATCAGATTTCTGGTTTTCTGAGCTCTCAGCAGGACCACCCATAGTGCTCTACTTACACCCTCTATGGCTTGTCTAGCCACAGCAATGACACCACTCCAATTCCAAAAATTGGTTAGGGTCCTCTCAGGAACAGAATCAACAGGGAAAACACACATACACACACTCACGAATTTATTAACTGGGCTTACAGTATCAGAGGAGAGAGAGTCCACAATGGCTATCTGTGCATTAGAGCACCTGAGGTTCCAGTAGCTGCTAAGTCTAAGAAGCTGGAAGCTGAAGAACAAGAGAGGTCAAAGATCAGTACCAGTTTGAGATCAAAGGCCTAGAAGCTCAAGGGAGAGCCTGCAATGAAAGGCTGAAGAAACTGAGTCTGATGTTGACAGGCAAAGGCACGAAAAGATGAAACCACTCAAGGAGAATAGAGCTTTTCAAAAGCAGGGTGACTTCCTCCTTCTTCTTCCCCTTTCACTCCATGCAGGCCACAAGTCTATTGGAGAGTGCCACCCACAGTCAGGTTGGGACTTCCCCTCAGTTCCCTGGCCTACATGTGGGTCACTTCTGGAAACCCCTGCAGATGCTCCCAGAAGTGTGCTGGACTAATCTGCTAGGCATTTCTTAAATTCAGTGAAGTTGACAATCATAATTAATAGTCACACCTGATCTCAGACTTCCAGCCTCCAGAATTCAAACAATGAGTTTCTATTGTTGAAGCTACCCAGTGTATGGCATCTTGTTACAGCAAACCAAAGTAAGACCACCTCTTACCTCTAACATCTGGAGAATGTGACCCTCTTCTGTATTCCTACTTTGCTGTTCACTCTTAGACCAAGATGTGGGTAGATGCCCCTATGCCAGGAGGTGAGAGTGGATTCTAGGGTGCATTAATAAGTTTCAAATGATCAAACCCTGCAGGGGGGTTACCTGAACCCTAAATGACAAGAAAGAGCTCTCTTCGCAAGTCTGGGGGTGGACTGCTCTGGACAATTAGGGTGTGCTTGAGCATCAGGACCAGAACCAGGGCAGTACAGCAGTTGTTCAAGCATGGAGAAGAGGCAGGCCAGGCATGTGATGAGCTCAGATTACCTTTTCTTGCATCCTTTCAGGGAGTGGTTGGAGACACAGACTCTAGCTTGAATGTCCAGATTCTAATCCCAACTGTATCTCTAACTCATAAAAGTATAGATTAGGCTGTGGACATCTCTCTGCTTCCATTTCTTCATCTCTGAACTGGGGATAAGCAGGGCCTACCTCAAAATGCTTGTGTATGTCCAAATGCTTGGGCGAGGACCTTGCAAATAGAAAGTCGTGTGCTGGCCCTTGTTATTAGCAGCTCCAATTCAGCAAGATTGCCCCTGCTTAGAATTATTGTTCTTATAAGGAACACCTCAGGAGCATCTCTGGCTGAAGAAGGATTTGGAAATCAGCAATCAGAAACCTTGTTGTATCTTCAATAGCCCAGGTGGTCTCTGGAAAAAATAAGTCTTTTTTTTGTCTATCCTTTTATTGGTACCTTTTAGGTGTACAATATAATGACATTCATCATTGGACATATGCACCTTTACATACTCTCAGTTCTTTTTAGGAAAAAATAAGACTTTTTCAAAGTTAAAATAAAATTTAAATCCACTCTTTAATAAAATAAATCTTAATTTTGTGCCAAAAGTGTCATAAATGCCTTTTCTTTTCCTGTGATGCGCCACAGGAATCTTAAAAATTGCTAACTGTGAAAACTACTCAAGAAACATCTCAAACCTCAGAGAAAGGTGTGGTGGGTGTGAAAGGAGAGAAGTATGGGGGAGGAGTTGAGTTTTCTTCCAGGGTAGATGGGTTGAGTCAACCCAGAGCAGTGTCCTGAAGAAAAACTGGATGCTCAGGAGGTTGTTCCTTGAGACATCTCCTCCCTCTCATTCTCAGTCAAGGATGATTCCTTCCTCTGGAAGGTGCAGCCAGAGCCCCCCTTTAAGGGAATTCTAGAACACGCAGCAAAGAAAACTTTAAAACAGAGTGAAACCTAGAGAGAACCCAATTTATACGGAAGGAAGGAAGGAAGGAAGGTGGATAGGAGGGAGGAAGGAAGGAAGGAAGGGAAGGAAGGAAGGGAAGGAAGGTGATGGGAGGGAAGGAGGGAGGAGAAAGATAGCAAGGAAAAAGGAATGGAAAAGAAGAGGAAAGAAGGAATAGGGAGGAAACGGGGCAGGAAGCCAAACACATGAGTGCCCGGAGAGTGACAGACAGCACTGTTATCTTGCGCATTTCTGTTGGTAACAGAAAGGAGATTTGGGAGTTTTCAGTCGACAGAAAGGGGGAGGTATGTCTGAGGCCCCTCCACTCTCTAAGAAAGGGGCTTTCCCACCCGTGCCTCTCCCATGCATAAAGACACTGGTGCCACTCAGTGGACAAACACGTGACTTTCCAAATGTTACCATTTCTGTTCAAGCTTAGCCATGTTCAAATACTGCTTGGCAAAAAGTGTCCAATACTATTAAAAGTTGCCAAATAACTTCAGTGCAACTAATTTTCAATACACCTATAAAGAAAAATAAAATATATTCTGATCATTGGGAAACTCTCAGATTTAAAAAGTTTTAGATTTAAAAGATTTAAAATTTTCCATTATAGGGAATACAGTGTAATTATAGTTATGTTTGACTTATTTGATAAATTGTGTCAAATTAGTCCATAATTTATTCTGTTGCAGAAATATCCACTGAACTCTAGGATATATTTGTATTTACTGTACTTAATCTTCTTGTTAGATGTAGAAATATAAAACAAATGGCACATAATAAAAATCTTAGGTGGATTTTTTTATTGTTTCATTGATTTTATTAAAATTTCATAAAAAATGGAATTCTCATGACATTTTTAAACTCATTTGTATTAATAATACAATATAATATAAATTAAAATACAATAATAAAAAAATCTTCCGCATCTATAGTGCTTAATAATTAATATCTGAATGCTTTCGTATACATCATCTTGATTCTTCAAACAACCTTCATTACAATAGATAAGGCAAAAGAGGGTCACAGAGCCTGACATTCAAGATCACATAAATAGGACATTTAAAATCTGGGCCTCCGTCACCCATCAAGTGGCATTTCCATGCCATCATGTTGTAAATTAGACTCACTCTGAGTAAGTTACCATAGGTGACATCTTAGGAGTACATTATTTTACGAGCTTATCTCATGAGGTATTCTTTTGAATTTCTAAATATTCTTTATGATCGCATGTATTTATATTCTTACCCACATATTATGTTAAAGAAATTTAGATAATGTCAAAAAAAGTTGGAAGGAAATTTTAAAACTTCTCCCTGCTGTGCTTTTCAAGGTAGCTCAGTAACTGAGTGAAATAAAACTTTTCTAAAAGCTCTTGTTATAGAAATCCCTGCTGCAATGAAGGTCTTCACTCTGCTTTTTTAAGATCAAAATTTAACCTGGGAGAGAGACATAAAATGGGAATGAGAATATAGTGATGTTTTAAGGACACACAAAAAATCAATTTAGGAGTCTCATTTTTGTGCATTTGTAGCTCTCTTCACGTCTCTCCATTTTCTGGGCAGAGCACACAAGCCCTGCTATGCTTGCTTCCACAAGGTCTGTGTTTAGGCCTCATCTTAGTGCTCTCTCCATTGGGTGTAGCAAGTATCTAGGGCTTTGAAAGATCCAGCTCAGTGGTAGAGCACTTGCCTAGAATGATTTCCTCGCCAACATCACAAAAAAACAAAAATTCAGCTAAATCAGCATTTATATCTCTCCATAGTATCTGTCCTGCTGTCCTGGAAAATGAAGTTCATTGAATCAAATAACCTTATAAGTTAACTGAAATATACAGTCTCAAAAAATTTTTAAACCGGGCTGGGGATTTAGCTCAGTGGTTTCGCCGCCTGCTGCGGCAAGCGCAAGGACCGGAGTTTGATCCTCGGTACCAAAAAAAAATTTTTAAACCTACATATAGGCCTAAGCAGAAAAAAAAAATTCAGTGTGTGGGCAGCTGAGAATTTATCCTTTACTATTACAATTGCAATTTGTAATTTGCCCAGTCTTCACCTGTAGGTTGTAAAGGCTTATCACATCCTCAGTGGCAAACGCAGATATTGGTTGTGAAAGAAGTTCTTAAAGGAATGAATTTGGGTTTCGACATCTTTTTAGGAGTTGATAAGAGTCGATGCAACATTGTTACAAACCATAAACATCTTTTGGGTTGATGGCCATAGAATGTATGTGGACTACATGCACGATGTTTTATTCAAATGTAGGTGTTGGCTAATTATTCGCTGAGTGAACATGTAAATGATGAATGATGACTACTTGAGAGGACATTGGGAATTCCTGCTCCAGGGGCCCTGCCAATCCAATCTTCCTGCTGTGTTCAGTGGGATCTCAATTCCCAATCATCCAAAGCCTTCCTTGATGTATAGGAAGAACCACTGGCCTCTTCACTGTGGAGCAGAAACAAGAAACCAAAGAGCAGGAAACCCTTGGATTCTACTATTCGTTCTTAACCCAGTTTTCTAGCTCCCAGTGTTCCTCTCATTAAATAGGAGTAAAATAAATTCTTTACCACATTCAAAACACTGCATTTTCACTGCTTCCAGCTGCAAACTTTAAAGGCAGAATCACAAGAGGATATGTGGTGAACAGGGCCTAGTTACAAAAGAGGTCACATAAAAATTTAAAAGCACTTAAGATTAAATAGTCCAGGCTATCCAGGGGGATGAGCTATGCAAACCAAGTGAAAATTAAAACTAAATTGCATACACTAATCAGCAGTGGGTAACACTTCCCATTCATTTGCATGCCATGCAATTATCCTCATCCCTGCTGAGCTTGAGGCATCCAGCTGGGTTAGTGCATCTCCCAGGAACAAGGTGCTGGGCTTTCTCCCTGGGCTTGGTTGTGTTCTTTTGGGTGGGGACAGCAAATAAATAATCGCTGTGGCACCTTTTCCCTTTGAACATCTGAAATGAAAGCAATGCAGATCTATGCAGAGCAGCTTTCAGATCCCTCAGCAAGGATAAAACACAAGATGCTTCAGGGTCAATGCCTCATTTCTATAACATTCTATTTGATCTTATGCTTCAGAAAACACTTTTTTTGTACTATATAAAGAATTCCTCTTCTTTTTCTTCACCCTGGACTGCCAGGTGAAGGGGACATCTTGAGATCGTCTTCCTCGGACCAAGTTCCCTTTGGCCAGCAAGTAACAAAGGGTGAATGTGTTCCCTCACCACTCTTTCGGTTGTGGTGGTGGTCGCCTCGAAGGAAGTGCCTGGCAAACTAGGCGGTTGGCTGACCTGTAAGTCCTTTGGAAATCTGCTCCAAATAGATGGTCTGGGCTCTGGATTGAGGACGGTGAACCCTGTGTCCACATCCATCTCAGCCTCAAGCTTCTGAAAGCTGTTTTCCTTGAGGAGCTTCATTGTGGGCCCGAGTTCGAGGCAGGGAGAAGGCAGATGCTGCTGGGTGCCCGTGGCTGAGCTGCTGGCCTGGGCAGACCGGCCAGGGCTTCTCCAGAGGGCACCACTAAAGCTGGCCTCTGACATCCCACTGGGCTGAGGAAGCTCCAGAGAGCGCGCCTTGAACTTCCTGGGCCGGCTTCTCCAGCTCCTGGGCTCCAGGGTTCTCTGCGCAGAAACAGAAGTCAGCCTGGGGCCCTGATGGGGTGCGTCGGCTCCCACGATGCCACTCACAGAAGGGAGCTCGCCGTGCCTAGGACCAAGGCCTGGGTTCGACTGGACCTGGGGAACAAGAGGACAAAGAAGACATTTTCCATCTGCTCAGTACCAAGCACACACCTCACCTCTGCTGTGCCACGTCCAGAGCAGACGCTCAGCAAAATCACCTGGACTGAACCTGTCTCTCTCCCCCTCAAGGTTAATTTTTTTCCTTTCTTTTCTTTTTTCATTTCTTTTCTTTCTTAGCAGTGCTGGGGATTGAACCAGAGCCTTTGCACTAAGCTATGTCCTCAGCCCCCGTCCCCATTTTTGAGACAGGATCTGGCTAAGTCACTCAGTTGTCTATGCTGTGCTCAAACTTGCAATCCTCCTGCTTCAGCCTCCCAGAGTGCTCAGATTAAAGGTGTGCACCTGGCTCCCTAAATTAGGTTTTTGACAAGTGCAAGACTTTGAGGATAAATGGCCGCTTTGCAATACCGTATTTGTAGTACATTAAATTGTATAAACAATGCAAGGACTTCCCCAACATGTCATTCGGTGACCTCTCTGGGTGCAGTAAATAATGTGTTACCAACCATGCTGAAAGAAAAAAGCCACCAGGACATATGGTCTCAGGAAAGATAAGGACTGAAAGAGGAATCCAATCTCTCAAAGTTAGTGTCCTTCTTTTAGATTATGCTAATAATGGTGTATCTCTTAGGCTAGTCCAAGGCAATGTGGGCACTCCACCCAGGCCAATAATTTGGCTCTTTTTTAAAACAAATGTTCTTTATAGGATACAGGGTAGTACTACATGGGAAAATAAAAGGGAACTGCTTGTGTGGAAGCTCTGCTTCTTTAATCCCTGAAAATCCCATTCTGGTTCCAATCTTACAGCACTCAGCAAAGCTCCCCTCCTGCAGGTAGCTGCATCTCTCCCCAGAGTGCAGTTCACCATCGCATCTTTCATCCTCAAACTCCTGGGAACCTGGCATACCACCTCTTGCACAGCACTCTCCCCGAGAGGATTTCAGAAAAGGACAATTTCCTCCACCTTGTTAATAGCCCTTAGATACTGGTATCCAGGACCCACCCCTGCCTCATCCAGACCTCAATCAAATACCAAAAAGAATGGTACAGAAGGACCCTACATGTCTATTGCTATGAAAGCAGCCAATCTGAAAAGGCTACATATGGTCTACAGCCAACTCTACAGCATCCTGTAAAAGACAACTCTGGAGACAGTAAAAATATCAGTAATTGGCAGGGTTTGTGGAGAGAGAGAAGAATGGGCAGAGCACAGGGCCTTTTAGGGCAGTGAAGTACTCCAAGTGATACTGTAATGGGACAGGTGTCACTGCACATTTGTCAAACCTGTAGTAGGTGCACCACCAAGAGTGAACCCTAGTGTAAGCCATGGGCTGTAAGTGACAATGGCCTGTGGATGGAGGCTCCTTCCTTGTATTGGACGTGCCCCTCTGGGGGAGCTGTCGGCAGCTGAGGAGTCAGTGTGTCTGTGGGGTCAGGGTGAAGAGGTACACGGGAACTCCACTCTCTCTTTAGTTTTCCTATGAACTACCACTGCCCCCCAAATCACCTATTTCAAGGGGGAAACAAAGAGTGGTACATATTTATCTCTCAAGGCAGGAAATCAGAAATTATGACAGTGAAAAAGCAGGTCAAAACAAGTTGACTACTATACACAGACACAAAGTGCTTGCTTGTGTAGGAGATGTATAGGTATCTCCTATATATCTCTGATAGAAGTGGAGAGGTGATGACTATCACACTGCAAAAAAAAAAAGAATGGAGACTTCAGTTGCTCCTTTCAGAAGTTGCCAAATACTTTCCGTAAAGGGCCATGTAGTAAATATCTGAGGTTTTCTGGCCATATGGACCATATCCCAGACACTCAGCTCTGCCACAAAGCAGCCATAGGCAAGACATAAATAAGTGGTGTGGCCGTGTTTCAGTGAAATTCTATCGATGAAGGCTGAAATTTCAATCTCATAATTATCACGTGTCATGATTTTTTTCCAGCTGTTTAAAAATGGAAAACTGTTTTTTAGCTCCTGGGCCACAATTGGCCAGTCCTTGCTCTCTCTCAATCAATGATTCTCTCCCTCTCTCTCTCTCTCTCTCCTCTCTCTCTCAATAAGAAGTCCTTTTTCCCCAACAGTATCTTAGCTGCAAGCTAAAATATGAAGCAGTCGAATTACAGCTGGGGCTGCAGGTCTCCCCACCCATGGAACCACCCTAGGTCTCCCCATCGCTTCCGCTATGGCCGCCAACCCCCTCACCAAGGCCCTGCATATCTCAGAACAGTTTGAAAACTGCTCTTCCGGAATCTCTAAATTCTGTTCCTGGACCCTGAGGTTCCCAGAGAGCTGCACACACCGGATCCCCTCCTCCTGTGCTTGCACGGATGGAGCCACCTGAGCACAGTGCCCCATGGGCTGCCACGAGCCCCTGCCAGCTCACAGACTCTGTCTAGAGGACACTGCAGAGAGGATGCCTGCTGCACCTCAAGATGTGTCCACCAGCAAACTCACAGGGAAATGTGTGTCCCCAGACGGCTGCACATCAGAACTAGCTGGAGGTTATCAGAAAACACTGCCGCCCAGGTCCTGCCCTAGACATTCTGCTTCCACCAGGCCAGGGTGCAATCTGGGCATCGGGAAGTTTCACAGGAAAGTTTGGGAGCCACTGGGGTAGACCCAGAAATCTGTGCCTTAGGGAGTTCACTCGTGGCCATGGGAGTTTGTTCCTCATCATATAGAGCCGACCTCCTGCTCTCATTCCTGGAAATTCTTTTGCCTAATTTCATTTTGCACTCTCCCCCTACATGTCCCTCCTTTCTTTCCTTCCTTCCTTCCTGTCTTTTCTTTTCATCTGTTAGTTCTTAACAAGGAGTATCTTTTTGCTTGTTGATTGAGTATTCTTTATCTAAAATGCTCGGGCCAGAAGTGTTTCACATTTTTTATTTTTTCATGTTTCAAAATATTTGCATATACATAACGAGATATCTTGAGCTGAGACCAAAGTCTAAACATTTATGTTCCATAGACCAGGAGCCTGAAGGTAATCTTACACAACATTTTTAGTGTATCTGCATTTTAACTGTGACCCATCACATGAGGTCAGGTGTGGAATTTTCCATTTGTGGTACGATAGTGGCACTCAAAGTTTTCAGATTTGGGAGCATTTCAGATTTTTGGACTATAGATAATCAGCCTACATTACAAGATGTGGTCCTAACATATGGTGAATGTTTGCATTTTTAAAAAATTTATACAATGAAAGACATATTGCCATTAATCTCCCTCAGAATACTCCCCTAGCTTGGAACACACTTATCCCATCATTCTGGCTACTTTCTGAAGCACTCTAAAGTTCTTTTGTGTCTTTTGTTGCACTGTCATGGCTCACTCCAGGTCCTGGATTGATTCAAAACATTTACCTTTCGCTTCATTGTCATTTTGACTTTGGGGAAGAGCCAGAAGTCATATGATGCCAGATCTGGTGAATAAGGTGGATGAGAACACAGGTTAATGTTTTTGTAAGCCTGCCTTTCCATTGCATGGCACTTGACAGTAGCATTCACCATATTTTTTATCACATCTTATAAAGATATTCTTGAAAAGGACTTCCAGAACTGCTTCAGAAAGTGGTAAGAACAGGGGGCATAAGTGTGTTCAAAGCTGGGGGAGGATTTTGAAGGGGAGTAATAGCAGTCTGTCTTTTACTATAAGAAAAAATTTTTAATTTAAGCATTCATCATATATGTTGATCATATCTTGTAAGTGATAATTGCTCACTATAAAAATAATTTGATTGTACAAATATATAAAATAAAAGATAAAGGCTCCCGCTACACACACACACATCAACCTCGTGTCACCTCAAACTTACTTTTTAAAGAACATCTTGTTTATCTTTTCAAAACTAGAGAGGAAGAAGCACTGCCTACCATCTACAAGCTAGAATATCTTTTCCTTGGAGAACGAACTCCTTCAGTCCTGCACAGGGCTCTGTTGCCATCTCTTCCTCTGGAGAATCAGCAGACACCTTTTTATTTCACCCAGTGAAGTCCTTTCTTCTAGGCCAGGAAATGGGCACCATGTTTTTTCATATTCAAAAGTAATTCTGGGTTGATATAAGACCACCCAGTCAGGAGAAAGAAATCCATAAGTTTAACTCTGCAGCTCCTACTTCATGTTCTGACAACTTTGATCAGAAAGAGAAGCCAAATTCTGCCTGGTCACCTCAATCAGCCTCACATCAGAAGGAAATTGATCCTGAAGCCACACCTGTGCTGAAACATCTCAGGGCAGGACAAAGAGCTCCCTTGAGCCTTGGGAGTCCATGGTCCCCATTGAGCCAGCCCAGTGTACTCTTCACTCCCCTGTGGTCCCTCAGTCCCGTGGCCCTTCCACCAGATCATGTCTTCCTTAAAATGCTCTGCCTCTGTCAAGTGTGCTGGCACACTCCCGTCATCTCAGCTAAGTGGAAGGCTGAGGCAGGAGGATCACAAATGCACAGTCTAGGCAACTTAGCAAGCACTCAGACCAGCAGGCCAGGATTCTGTTTTCCATTACATCTGCTCTTCACCACTTACACCATCCCCTAGTCTCTCTCTCCCTGTCCAGTCTTCTCTGCCTTCTATAGCCATCTGAGTCCGAAGACTACAGCTTTGACCATGTCCTTGCCAATACCTCCAACTCCCCACACTACTCCCTTTCTGTCGTAAATTCCTACAAAATCTCCCAACCCTGGCTTGGAGTCACTTTTCTTTAAAAAAAAAAAAGGAGCCAAATGATTGGCCTGGCATGGTATCCAGCTCTACCTAGGCTGCTTTCCAGTCTTGTTCCCTCGTCTTCCCTCTATTCCCCCAGCAGCTGCTCCTAACCCTCTGAACTGTCCTGAAACCTTCAGTAGCATAATGTTCCCCTTCCTCTCACCATCTATATTGCAGAGAAAGTAAAAGCCATCATGAGTTAGCAACTCTGTCTGTTATGCCCTGTGTTTAGATGTCCTCCCAAAGCCTCCGGAGAATGACGTGGGGCTAGTTTGGAGGTGGCTGA